AATATTCTTCGTAATTTATTATCGTGACGATGCAATAAGAGTTTGTCCGGAGGACCATGATCCACGGTCTTCGAAAACTTCCTCAAGTTCTAGCAAATATAGAGTGTGTGGTGCAATTCATATCATCTTTCTACTCTAAAAAACGATATCTTCGACAAAAGATGACCCCTGAGAATTTTCGTAGCCTTCCTTCTTATGAATCGCTCCCACGTACGGAAAAAACATGCAGAATACGTGATAGCTACTTCTCTTTCAAGAACATCTATATCTATCAACTTCTAATAAAGATTGTAAGTTTATTAAAATTCAATATAAAACTTCAAGAAATACAATATCTAACGATCATTCCAGGAATGTCTTTTAAATTTATTTATATTGTAGAAAAATGTACGCAGCTGCATAATACAAAACGACTAAATATATTCGGGATATGTAACGAATTGTTATAATATATTCATCCGCAAAAAACCGGTAAAATTACTGTAACATTACATTTTATTTTGTAGGTAAATATATTTTCATCTATAGAAAATTATCGGATTAACCCGACAAATTTAAAATCTCTAATTATACATTTTAAAGTGTATAACTTCGAAATTAAAACAAAGTTATATAAAAAAAATAACGAAGTGCATATATCAGCTATAATCCAATTCACAAATTCTGTAATCGGGTATAACGAGTCTAATGGATTTGAACATTTCCTTTAATTGACAATCAGATAAAGCGAAATTTTGAAAAATTGTTTATAACAAGCAATTTATGTAATCTTATTCCTCGGATTTTGACCCTTAAAATAAAAAATCATTTAATTTAATTTTTTATTATTATTAATTACGTTAACTTTAATTAAGCAAAGATACATTAAATTAAAGTACACAAGACGGACAAATACAGTTAAGGAAATAGGGCGAATATCGATTAAAATTTACAAAAGAATAAAAATAGTCTAAAAATTATCTTGTTTAAACATTTATATAGTCTGTACTCTATAAGATTTTAACAGATTTAAATTTTGTATCATTTACGTAATCATATTCTATGATGTCTAGCATTCCACTGTATAAAAATAAAAATGTATTTTTATTATATGTGAGAATATCCAATCTGAAATATCCAGTCCGTGAAAATCTAACGTGTAATCCTGTAAGATTAAAACTAGCCGAAGAAGTAAGGAAAGCCACAGCGGATTAAAAGTAGTACGAGTAAGCGTATAAATCGGACGCAAAGAGGTCAAGACTTTTCCTCAATCCTTACTCTTGAGTAGACGATGACTGCGTTGCCGTACCGGAAAAGATATGGCTTTGCGAGGTAAAAGGTAAAAAATTTTACTTGAGACGAATGCGGAATAGGTTGGTTACTGGTAAGAGCATCGAAAACCGTCTGTACTTTGTACCATAGCAATCTGAGTTTGTGGATAATTCATGACAAGTAAAAATGTTTTTTAGTCGACTTTCTCTCAACTCGACAGATGAATAGTTTCATCACATGAATAGTTTATTTCTGTAAAATCCTGATCCTTAATGTCAAGCGTTACGTACACGCGTTACAAATTAATGCTTGGTAAATAATAATGAAGGAAAAAAAACAGCGTTCCTGCGACGCTACTTTTTTCATCAATCGCAATTGCTTGCTTTCGCATTGAAATTCCAACGAGTTTCCCAACTACATCGGATTTAAATTTAGGAATACGCATGTAAATTTACGAGTACATGCCGAGAAAACGGATGGCGTTAAATTAAAATCTTAAAAATAAAAAGAGCGTGGAATAAAATCTTAAGTGACAATATAACGCTCTCGTTTCAGGAATTCAAATTGGTTTTGCGTAATAACATGTATTTTGTCTTTAAATTAGAACATTGATATTAGCTTGGAATTAAATCATGAGCTTTAAATAGAAATCCTCGTGGTACGATCAGACAAGAACCGAGCGTGAAATTTCCGAGAATCTAGAATTTAAGATGTATGTATCCGTATACGCATTACAACCATATCTTAATGTTCATTCGTGGATTAACATTTGCGCAAGGGGCAAAAAGCACATTGAGAAACGTCAAGGATATTTCCTTGATGTTTAATAACCATGCTATGCTAAAAGCGGAGAGTGAGACTCTGTTCCATTCTATTTCTCTCTCTCTCTCTCTCTCTCTCACTCTCTCTCACTCTCTCTCTCTCTCTCTTTCTATCTTTCTCTCGGCGGCAACGTTCCTGCGAATTGTAACTGCATGTATATACCAATCTACCTCGAAACGAGATATGCATTTGAGGTTGGGATACATCTTGAGCAAGACACGTCATTTATATTTTCCAAAATTCAACGAAAACACTTTCGAGAGACAGAATATTATCATTTCCATAAGTTTGATTTTTATATTTATATTGAAAGGTGTAAAACTAAGCAAATTTTAATTAAAAAATATAAATTACGACTGTTAAAAGCATAAAACATATTATAATTTAAATCAACGATAGTTCATAAAATGACGTTTTATCACTCTGTCATTTTTCCTGAAAAGAGATATATTTGATTTGAAAGACGTTTTTAAACTTTCACACGTACATATAAGATAGTCCGCATGAAATCGCTAAGGCAAAGGAAGAACAATAGGGATAGAGGGTACATAAAAGCGGCAAAGGGAAGAAGTGACGTGACGAGAGAAATGTGAATCGAACAGAGGAACGAACTTCGTTCAAAACTTTATCTTTGAGAATAGAATAGAGGAATTGAAACGTCGGATGTATGTATGGTAGCTCGAAACGAAAAACACTTGGCGTTCCTTTCAAGCAAGATCAAACTCGGATCCGATCAGATCTCCACACGAAAGACTGAAACCCTATTCGAAGGAACAATAATCCGTGCCCGGCTTTTGCGCTTCTACAACAGAAGGAACAAAAAGAGAGAACGCGGCTTCGACTCACACACTCTATACGAGGACATTTTATTATCGATATTACGATCTTTATGACTGTAAACATCGTAAATGCGCTCAAAACGTCATCTCAGGCGTAGACGCGTTTATCTTTGTAATATCTGCCTGTTGGAAACATGGCACTGAAGTGGGTCACAAGACAAAAAATGTTTCTTTGTCCGTTAATTTCACTACCATCTTGTTCTATTCCCCTAAGCGAAACCTTCTAGATTTCCACATCGCTTATGCAACCCGACGACTCATAAATGTATTATTCTCTTCATGAGTCGCATTAATGCGCAGTCAGGAGGAAAATTCTAACTAGAATTTTACTCGAAATTACAAAGAGATTCACTTCAGTTTTTTTCCCTCTTAAAAATAAAATCGGTTAAAAATCCATCTGACATTTGATATATTGTTATTAAGACCATTAGAGAATTTATGCGCTGGCTCGCATAACCATAGATTTAAATCCCCATCATTATCGTCATCATTATCCGTCCTTCTCGCATTTCAACTGCTTACCAACGAAAACACGCACGTACCAAACCATCCCGTAAACGAAATTACCGTAAAATTTATGCTGACGTTATATAATGTTACACGAGACATTAATAAGACGAAATAAGATGTTACACGATTTTATCTTCCGAAACTTCTCAAGAGGACGTTGCTGCCGAACACTGTCCTCGGAAGTGCAAAAATGGAACCATTCGTAATGGCATTTAAAGGATCACCAATAATTTCACGAGGAGAAGGACGTGATCCTAATGTGCGACCATGAATTGACCTACATTATCTCGCCAAATAGCCTGTCTATTGGATATTAGAAAATGGATTTCGCGCAACTACTTTCATCGTTTTATTGTGAACTGACGTTCCTCCGCACGAACTTCCATTCGTCGAATTGCAGGAAGACACGCTCCACCAGCAGTTTCCATCTTCTTCCTCCCGGCACCAATCTTTGCTCGCTTTCAGTAATACGAATTTTACGATTTTATCTGCCTCTCTCTCTCTCTCTCTCTCTCTCTATATATATATATATATATATATGTATGTATGTATGTATGTATGTATGTATGTATGTATTAGTGCGCTCGCCTTCGGCGACTCTTAGAGTTCCGTCCAGCCGGCGGGGTGATGCATCAGTGCACAAACATGATTTCACTATCGCGACCATAACATTATGATATCGTTAGGTCTCATTGCATCTCTTTCGCGTCTTTCTCGTTTGAGACATTTTTGCCCGCGCACATTCTTATACTCTCGTTTCATCTAAGAGAAGAAAAAAGCTGACGCAGTGTGTGCCTGATCTATTACTTCCCATAGCTGCCTGTCCTTATCATCCAGAGACTTTATGATGAAAAACGTCTGAGATTCCGACACCGCTCCGCAAATCTCGGAGTGTAATTCTATCTTGATAAAAATAGTAATAATATATTTTGACATTTTAAGTAATATGGATTGTACTGTTGGTTTCATATTCATAATAATCTTATTCTTCATATACGATAACATTTTGAAAAACGAAAGTTCTTTTAAATATTCTAGATATTCAAATTTTGATTTGCTTTTTCGATCAAATTGATTTAATTCATAATCAAGAATACTAATCGTTTTAATTAGGCCGTCTTTATGACCAAATTTGTTAATTATATTTATAATTATAATTCTAATATTCTAATGTAATTCTATAATTGCAACTTGACTTCATAAAGAATAATCGTACTTGTGTGTGTGTTTCATTTTATTATTTTTTAATAAATATGTTTCTTTATTCCAAGGCTGAAAACATTTTCGTTCTATTTTAGCAAGTAGAGATGACAATTACGTGTAATTAACACTACTAACATGCAGTTACAATTGATTATAAAGTCATCATGTAAAAATAGTTACTTCGTTTAATAACTAAAGCGTTAAAAACAGCATTACGTGTATTTGATGCAGGCGAACATGCAAACAGTTAACTCGTAGCTCCTTTATTATTTTTAATTGTTCATCAAGTCAATTAGTCTTTTTATTATATATATTTGTTTATAATTTATATTAATTGTAATTTATAATTAAATATTGTCTATTGACTCGTTTTAGGTACATGGCCATCGTGAATCCTTTAAAACCACGTATGGGGAAAAAGGCAACGCTGTGCGTTGCAGTCATAATTTGGATCATCGGAGCAATTCTATCTTTACCGATGTTACTTTTCTACACCACGTACACTCAGAACTTCATGAATGGCGAAGTTCGCGTCGTCTGCTACAGCGATTGGCCGAACACAGATGATAATGGACTCAGCTACGATGAATATTTGTAAGCTAAATGTTTTAACAATGAACACATATTTGCGAAATTTATTTCTTAAGTATTTCTATATACATATACGATTATTTACATTCGCCTGCTCTTTCACAAAAATGTATTTCTCCAATCTAATCAATAATGTAGACGTAATTTTCATTTCAATTTTAATGGAATACTTTTAGGATCGCGTGTGAATATCTCGCAAAGTTCCACACAATGCGTTCGCGTATATATACGTAAGTTACTGTAGTTACACACAATTATTATACATTCGCATTTTTTATAGTGTACAGTCAAGCGAGTCACGAAAGGTAAAAGTATCATTTTTCCGAAGACCTATAAAAGTGTCGTTACCTCATATACACGTATATGTATATTCACGCAACACTACTACACCGTTTACAATTTATGACCGTTAAACGATTGCGCCTGCCAGTCAATTTGGTTTGTCTCTTACGTACATATAAACGTGAGACTTGTGTATGCTATGCATATTGTGCCGTCCCAATGAGTCTCTCATTTTACTATATACAAAATGTTTCCAGGTACTGCGATAAGAGAGGCGATAAATCGAGCTAATAATACCTTCAATTCGGTGCATCGTAAATGTATCGCGTGTCTTCGAAATACTTACTCTAATCACGCATGATTAAATCAAGCTTTGATCGGATTGTAATTACAGATGAAAATCTGAATTGTGTTCCACATTTGCGTCCGCTTCATACGATCGTCCATTAAGATAAGTTCATGAAAACGTACTCGCCGAGATAACGTGGTCGCTCCGGAGCGAGTGCCGTTTCCTAATTGAAAGATTCAGACAGTATACCCAGAACTCGGTGGTATCGTGCATAGCACATGTAAAATCACTAAAATCACGCATAGTATATAGACCACGCCCATAGTACGATAGCCAGGAGAATTCTAATCCTGATATAAATGCCGTTTTGAACAGTTGTTCCCAAAATAACTCATGCTTAATCCAAGTTCACGCGATTCTATCCATCGTTCTATAATCTCTAGCCCAAGAATCTCTCTTCTATTCTGCGATTACGAGATTCACGCGACACGAAACTTTCCCACATTTTGCCCCTCCTCTCACCTCGCCTCTATATTTATTCAAAACGTAACAGGAGTGTAGTTTCGAAGTACGTTTTGTCATCAATTGCTCGATATAAAAACATCTAAATTCGTTTTTCGAAACTTACATATCGAATATAAGCTTAAACATGGCCGGAGACATTACCGTCTCCTGATAATTAATCGGACGCTTTCATCTTAATATAACAAAGCAATACACATAAATAATAACATTTGAAGAAACAGGAAAGAGAGAAAATTTATGTTATTACGTTTAAAATTCATTATAAGCCACACCTTATAAAGGTGTGGTTTATAATGCAATTATATACGATAATGTTCTATAATTATCATACATTCAAGCATATTAAATTAATGAAGATTAATTGGGTCGTAAATTCTGAAATTATCAGGACTGCAATAACTATAAATAATAAGAATGAGCAAATATTGCATATCCATGTTTACATTTATTCTTTACATACCAAGTTATTAGAAAGAAAAAAAGGAAATTAATTATAAAAAAGTAAAAAAAATTAAAAAAACAGAAAAATTAAGAATAAAGATTATTTCGGACAAGTCATTCAAATTTATGCAAGAATCATAAGCGTCATGAATTCATGCTAAACATATGCTTATCATCCATGATAATTTAATATTTATTTGCTCTCAAATGTTATACAAAATTTTATCAAATATATGATTTCGTATTTGAGTCAATTTACCATACATATATTGTTATATGATATAAGATTAGCCTATTTTTCTTCGATATTCTTAAGATTTTTCGAATACATTTGCTTCTTTTCAGGAATACGTTTTCAAACATAATGTAGTCTAATCCTTGCGTAATCCTTAAAAAGATCCTAAAGTAAAGCCCGAACTCCGACGAGATAATTTTTTATACATTTTTTATACATTACTTTATACATATACTATTTTATGTGCTACTACATTAATATATCGCGCACATATATACCATAAATTTTCATAGTACAATAGCGTTTCAATTAGAAACGTCTAAATGTAATTGTAAAAAGTCCACGTCTTATTTGTTCTCATGTAACCTACTAGTCCGTGAGCCACAATTTTATAAGTACAAATTGCAAAGCTTTTATATCAAGCAAATGTTACGATATTGACAATTTCAACGCTATATTAAAGTAATTAAGAAATGGTGACGATCTCAATTTAATTAATTTTTCTTGTTCTCGGCATAAACATTTACTTTATTACAGACACGTATTAATGCGTGTACTTTAATTTTGGAAAATATTTTTTAATTTGTAAAAGGGGAAAAGTAATTGTTATATAAACATTATTACGTCGGTAATACGGACGATTTAAGGAACCCTTCGAACATAGCGAAAGTAAATTTGTATAAATATCAATCAGGAGACACGATAATGTCTCCGGCCATGTTTAAATTATTATTATAGCGAATAATACTCATCGATCGTTCCTCGAAAATTCTGCTTCACTACTGTATTTCACTCGTTTAATACTATTATTTACTCAAACGCTGACGATTAAAGCTTTTACGGATTTCCACGGTTTAAATTCGCATAAAGTATTTCAAATCGGAACTACGCGAGTATAACTTGATGATGAATTTGTGATGCATCAGTAGTTTTTATTCGTTTGGAATCAACACTGGTTTTCCAAGCGTAACGTGGAATCGGAAACTTCGATTGTTGTATAATAGCTTGCGACACATAATCTGATTGCAACAAACGCGATAATCCATTGATCAATTCATTACCGTTTGTTAATAATCCTAATGCTGAGTGCGTTTCAACGTCCTCACCATGACAAGCTAAATGCTCCGTTAGAAAATTAACAGGTGTTAGCATCGCTCTTTCGGATTGTCATAATTACTATAATTAATGCATGTACACGGAGAGAAGGATTTCTTAAAATTTACCCTGAAAATATAGTAATTATTAAAGATTTTTACCATGCACTTCAGTAAAATTAATCATACTTATTTTATATTTTATTGTAGTTTTATTAATGAATGTGAGAGATTTACATAAAAATTCTTCGAAATATAATGTTGTCCCATGATTACCATATTTTCAGGGTAAATTTTAAGATATAATTCTTTCCGTGTAGATAAGATTGTAGCAGCAAAAATTACGTTGTCAGCTATATGTTCTAGCCACTGGCGATAAAAACACGAGATTTTTGTGTAATAATTTAGTCACCATATCTCTTAATCTTTTAATGTGAATTAAAACTGATTGACTGAAAAATTATTACATTTTCCTCCTTTCTTAAAATACCGCGTTCGCGCAATGTTTTAATTTCGTAAACTTTTAAAATTCCGTATACACTCTCTTAAATTCCGGCGGAAGCTTGTAACTTATGCATGCGCGTTACGAGTAATCTGCTTAACTATCCCCTCTCTATAAATTTCACATTACAGGTCGTTATATATCGTTGCTAAAGGTTAACGACAATTACGTGATTATCATTAGCCACGTACGTGCCTACATGTAAATGATTACACACGAGTTTTCACGTCCGGAACGTGAGTTCGGTTTAACTCACCTGTCCAATTACGACTTGATAATGCCATCGATAACTTTGTCAATAAACAACATCAAGCATGCACACATTGGCAGGTTCATTAGGTCTAATAATATGTGCACTCACGTACCTAATATCAGCCACCGTGACTGGTGCACCTAGAGAATCGGCCATGTATTATTTTCGCTCGGTGTTGAATTGGCACATTTAGCAGGCACTTTGAAAGCGGTTACGTGCTACGATACTCCTGAACAAAAACGTACCCGCGAGACCGCGATATCACGTTATTTTCATTCCCCCTTTGAGCATCACGTGTCATTGCCTCTCGCGCCATCCAATTTATGTTGAAAGTACTGTGCACAAATGTAACACCTGCGACTTCTGAAATATCAGCTTTAGTTAAATTTAATTGTCTAAACCACAAATTAGGTCAAATATACGTACAATTGTGAAATATTCGCATTCATGACGAATTTCATAATAATTTAATCGATCTCAATTATAATAATTCTAAAATCGACGTTTTAACAAAAACCTGCGCGCAATCTTTCGGATTTCCATGTTTAATTTTCAATGTTAAGAGATTGAATGTAATTAAATCTTAAATTCATTTCTGTTAAAGAAAAGTGAAATTAACTAGAAAGAAAAGTGAAATTAACTGGAAAAATAAAATCTTTCTTGTGTGTCTGTTTAAATCTTTTAAAACTGTGAAAGCACGGAGGTGCTTTAATTCTTGATGTAAACTTAATAATGAAACCTTGAATACTCTGCATAGAACAAAAAGATTTAATTTCCTTAAGGAATTCTAGAAGAAAGTGCACGATTTGCTGAAATACTTCGTAGAACATACAATATTAGAAAGAGTAAACTTGCTCCTATGAGTAAACGATATGAATTTAATTGACTTTCAGGTACAACGTTATCTTCATGATATTGACATACTTTTTACCAATCGGATCCATGACGTTTACCTACGCCAGGGTCGGCCTGGAATTGTGGGGCTCGCAAAGCATCGGGGAGGCTACAGCTAGGCAGCTCGAAAATATTCGGAGCAAACGGAGGGTATGTATAAAATGGATTAATATCCGCGCATAGTTCAGATGCTGAAATTGCTTTCGTTCCACGATCCAAAGATTATTTAAAACGGAAAAGTGCGTACGCGACGTGAAAGCATTTACGCGATAAAGTTCTTCTTTTTTTTTTCTCTCAATTTGGAATGTCCTTTTTTTTCATTTGACCAGTAATATTTGATCAGAAAAGGAATAAAATCATTACTTTTGAAAAAAAAAAAACTTTGTGAACGAAGAAACAAATGTTAATAAACTTTATAAACTCATGTTGAAAACTGTTACATGCTCCTTGTGTTCGATGGCGTTTAAGTAATTAAAGTGCAGTGTCGTGTCGGTACTTGTAACGTACTTATACGAAGTGATGCAACTAAGTAATCTCGCGCACGTTTTTTATCTTACTCTTTCATCCGGTCAAAATCGATATACAAACTATCTCAATTAATTAAGTTTAAATAGAACTTTAGACAATTTCTGTTCACGTTCTAGTCTTTTGTTCGTTGCGCATGTCGAGAAAGAGATAAATATCATGTGGTTTCGCCTCACTTCCCTTACAGGATGCTAAATAAATCACAAATATCTCATATGTACAAAAGAAATTTTGCAATTATTACAACAGTATCGCATCTGATTATCTCGTTAGTCAATCCAATATCCGTTGAATATCTATTGAAATAGCGTTATGCGTTTATTGGCACATCGCACAGCGAGAAATACCAATAGCAATCGTATAATGCATTTCATAGCTGTTCCGCTCTATTACGATCATTCATATCTCATCAAAATCTCCGATTTGTTATTTTCTTTATATATGGTATATATATGTACATGCAAAGAAAAATTTTGCTAACAAATCTAAAAATTTAGCTAGATACAGATCTGAAAAAAATTTTGTGGAACCATTAAAATAATTATGTAGGAAACTTAGACATGATGAACAATACTACAAAAAAATGTTTACATTTTAGCAACCGGCTTATATAATTATTTTGACAGCGTAACAAAATTATTTTCAGATCTGTGTAAGTAAATTCTTAAATACCTCAACCAAACCGATGTATTAATTATTATTACAGAGTATTAAAGTTATATTCGTTTTTGGAAGAGAGAGAGATACATAAGATCTACGATCTGCGAGTATTAGGAAGGTTGCGTATTGATAATTATGGCAAATGATGTAAACCCATACAACTGATTGCAAATGTGGACAATGCTACATAATCGCGTAATACATATACATACAAATTCAGAAATCCAGGGAAAACGCATGCGAGCGGCATTAAGATTCGCATGAAACGATAATATTCAGCAGCCTGATGATATTGGCTTTATCCAACCTTCGTAAACTCGGGAGCTTATCGGCTCCGTTTTAGTAGCTGCGGGAAATCCAACGATTTTCATCCCTCATGAATAACATCAGTGATATCCAATAATATCCACGCAACAACAAGAACCGCGTTACACGCAAAAAATCTGAAATACGTCGTTGTCTTTTCTTATCTTAATGGCACTATGGTAATTTTTACTGTATGTATGATGAATGAATGCGCAGACTTTCACAGATCGCAAAGACCCATTATAGCTAAAAGCAAGTATGGTACCTACTTACCGCGCTGCGGTAGAAAAATTATACAACAGACGTACAGAATGTTCAAATAAGATGTTCAGATAACAACTTTTGGAATGCAAATCGATAATGAAAGTAGGAATTTCACTCCAACAGAACAATATAAGAACAATAATGGTTAATATTCCAGCATTATATAATTTTTGCAAACATCTGCAAGCGTTTCAAAAAGTTGTATCAATGTTATTGATATTTTTCTCTTCTTTTCGTTCAATTTTCTTCACTACGTACGAAATGAAAAAATATGATTACGATGCAGTGATGCTTCACTCGATGGTGCGAAGGCATTCGTTAAAAAACGCCTTCTCAATTAATCTTAAATGTAATGTGTAATGACTATTTGCTAGCGTAAAATAAAGATTGCAAGTGTATGTGAGATATTCCGAGTCATTATCCTACCACGAATATCTCACAGAAAACAGCTCGAATCTAAAGTCCGGTCATAATTCGTAATTAGACGAGTCCCAGTCTGCATCTTCGCGGACTTCCATTTCCGACACTTAAACTTTAACTGTTCCAACTACTTTCAGTCAATAAAGTTTGAGGGAAAAGTTTCATCTATTCTCTACAGACAGTAACACGTTGGGGCGCTTAGTTAATTTTTGGTCACAGAAATAGAGAAAAAGAGAAGAGAAACGGACCCCGAGGGATGATCCCTTTGTTTCAAAGAAAAATATATATGTATTCTAACATGTTAGTGATACATGCACCGGATATCGATTGCCTACAAAAGCGTTTATTGCCTACAATCGTTTGTGATCTGCGTTCTGAACGGAATGAAAAACGATTACGTATAAGTTTCTACCTTCTAGCCAACTGCTGCCTCTATTTTATTTTTACGAATGTTGCAACTGCAACTTTTTAAATGGGATGCGATAAATTATGTGAAATAGTGATAAATGTAACAAATATTTTCAACATTTGCATTTTGCACGATAATATATATATATATATATATATATACTAACAATATGATTTAAACGCACACAATTAATAATGAGATACTATCTAATCGAGTAGATTACGGAGAAGAGAATAAATGGAATGTGATTATCGGATATAAAAATGGTCGTCCTAAATGGACGTAATGAATTCACAACAAAGCAATCGATATCAATGTAAGAAAAATGCATATTTTCTCTCGGATATTTTACACTAAGAGGAGACTGAATTCGTAATTCGTCTCTGTAAATTACGCACAGCTATGTATATAAATTATAGATGCGTGATAGAGTAATTCTCATCAGAAATCTTCATAACGAAACGTGTTAAATTGAAATTATTGATCAATTATCAAATTGAAATTCATATAATTGAGATTTATTTTTATTAACTCTTATACTCTTAAAAACTCCAAAGAAATGTTTAGTATTGGAAATTACGTATATTAACTTTCTTGAAATTTACGTAAACGTTTATTACAAAGACATAATTGTAATAATTAATCATCATGACAATTTTACCTTTTAAATATTCAAAGACAGTCAAGCGTAATAAAAATAATAAAATTACAAAATTCAGTAAAAAAGATAAGCCACGACTCAATCTATCGTTTGAATATTAATTGCTCAACTTTTTACCCTTAAAGAAATTCTTTATAGAAATTTAATTTAATTTTATACTAAAAATTAACTTTCTACCCTTAAAAAAATTCTTTATAGAAATTTAATTCAGTTTTATACTAAAAATTACTTATTTTAAGTATCACTAAACAACAGTGCTTTTAAAACTAAAAATAAATAATTAATCACTACTTTTCAATATTAAATTTCTTTAAGCGTTATTTTTAATTTCTGATTTAGATTCAGATATTCTAAGTCTTCCTTGAACATAGTATAGAAATAAGTTAATAGTTTAATTTTATTGATAGTTTAAAAGTATTATATAAAATTTATATTTGAAAATATTATATAAAATAATCCCAAAATATGGCAAGCAAGAATTAATTTCATGTTGCAATGCATAGTTTGAGCAATATTAAATACACAATCGTAGGACACTCCCTCAATACTCTGTTTCAAACAGTCTATAAAATTTCATCACAGTGTATTTAATTCTTTCGTTAATCAATGAAAGAAAGAGATAACGCGTCTACATTTACCTAATTGAAAGATAGGTGGAGGATTGTAACGGTATATTAGGAGAATCTAGTTAAGCGGGCCTCCTCCGAGTATGTCCGAGTAGGAATGCATTAAATTTCGATTAGACAAAAGGTGTCTGTTACATTCCGTCGCATACGTATCAATGCAATGTTCCGACCGCCAACATACGCGCGTGTGTTACGAGTTTCTCACGTCCACTACAAAGCTTACAGTCTACAACACATTGGACAAACGGTCTATATCCACAGGCAGATCGCTGTGTTAAGACCACAGCAGACTTCTGTAGAACGCATAACACATAGTGCACAAGAGAATTAACCAATCAGAATTATTTCTTTCCTTAATTTTTCCGGAAAAGAAGGATTTGATTGATTCTCTTACGCACTATGTATTATGTTTTATACAAAAGTCTGTGCTGCGACTGGCACTGATAATTACCGCGATAAAAATGTTATGGTTTCATTTAACGCGCACATTCTCATTATCTATTCCGTTCTACGACGAGATATCTATAATACCTTTCCTTTTTGCATCTTCAGAAAATTTCTCTCATTAGATTTTGTTCAAATTTATTCAAAAATATAGAGAGCGCTTTCCTCAGCGTTATTCGGTTTACAAATTACACGAACGCCCTCCGCGTTAGATTTACATACGAATGGAGGAAAGCCAAAGCCGCCAAATGCAAACCTTCAGTTCATTATATTTTTTCAGGCTGTTATATTTTTCTCGTGTTTCTCAGTAATTATAGACGCGCTCTTGAAAATTTAAAAAGCTATTTATGGTGCGAAATTTTAAATGCACGCAAAGTGCGGCGCGCGTGAAACATAAACCCGTAGAGGTAAAGTACTAAAACTCCTCGGAGTGTCGCTCTTGAAAACTTAAAGCATAAATACATTTAGAATACATTTACGTACACCTGCAACTCTTGCAATATCTTTTGCAAAGTTACATTAAACATTTTTTTATCATTTTATTATCGACTCGAAATGTAATGTAATACAAAATTGTTTATACAAATTTTTAATCATGTTCATAAAATGTATATCAAGGAACAGACTGTGGGAAGAGAAAGAAACAATGATTTTGCTAAAGTATTGCTGAAAATTTAGCTACATATATACATCTAAAAATAATTTTGTTGGATTCTATGTATCAGTACATACATAATATTTAATCTCGAAAACGCTAATTTAAAACTTTATTTTTTAAAAATATGTCTAGGAAAAAGATAAAATAACGCAGATCTTTTTACAATTTTTTCTATTG